AAAATACTGGTGTTTGGTGGCTAAGACGTGGGTCTTGTTATGTGTTGGCTGAATTTCATGCACAGCTAATTGTGATGATGAAGGGGAGGAGGAAAGGCAATTTTCTTCTCTCAGCATCAAACACGCCATGTTATCAGCTTCTTAAAAAGCATCCTCTTTTGACTTCCATGCTCCCTCTGGCTATATAGCTGCATTTCTCTGCCCCCTTAGAGCAAGTGCTCCGCTTTCTTTTATCCTACTCTCTCAATCTCACTTCAATCATGTTTTCACACCCTTCTCTTGACCAAAATGGGGCTTGCCAAAGTCCCCGATGACTTTGTCACATAGTCCCCTATATACATCACAGGGGCCCTGTGGTGGGGAGAGGGGCATGGGCAGCCCGCAGCAAAGAGACTAGTGGGGCTGGAGCACAGCAAGGTGGGGCTCGGAGGCAGAAGGTGAGTGCAGACGGGTAACAGGCAGCCAGTCGCAGAGGGCCTCAAGAACCACTGCAGGGACATCATCTTCTAACCTACGTGACATGGGGATGCAGTGTGAGTTCTGAGCATGAAGGTTAAGTACTTGGTCATGGTCACGAAATGAGTAAGTGTGGATGTGAACTCGGATCTTTCTGACTGTGGAGTCCCTGCTACTGTCTGCACTAGCTGTGTGACCTTGGGTTGGTCACTTAATCTCTCTGAACCTGAGCTTTCTCATCCTGAAAAATGGGGAGACTCATTCCTACCTTCTGGAGGTAATGAGATCCTTACACGAGAAAGGTGTATAGTATGCCAATATTCAAAAAAAGTGAACCGTAGTAACGAATTTCCTTTGCAAAGCTCAGTAACACCTGACACAGAGTAAGTGCTCAAAACGTATCTTCTGACTGAAAGTGGAATGAGCCCAAATAGGGACTTGCCATCCCCACAGGTTCAGTGGAGAGGGGGTGGAAGAAAGGGAGGTCCATTCTGCACTCCTAGCTCTTTCTCTAGCACATAGTAGGTACTTAACATGGAATTGCTGGATGAGGGCTGAGCAGGTAGGCCCCCAGCTGTCCCACTCCAGTGGCCGGCACAGGGACAGGGATCAGTATTGCTGCCTTACCTGCCACACCGCCGGCCAGCCACACAGCATAGGGGCTGGGGTCTGCACAGGCATCGGATGTGATCCAGTCAGTCACGAACACATAGGGGATAAAGTAGAGGCAATAGCCAGGGACATCCCTCAGCAGCATGGCGTTGGCGCCCCGGTAAAGCCCCGCCAGGCCCTCAGTCCGCACAATGGTTGCAATGCAATGCACAGGTCCCTGGTAGGCTGGCCGCTCCCCAAGGGCCACTGCCCTGGGCTTCAAACTGAGGTTGGCTGCAAAGACACGGTGGGGGAGAAGACAAGTGACCCAGGGGACAAGAGACTGGCCATCCTCTGGCACTGGAGCCAGCTCAGCCCATTGACAGTTCCCACTCCTATGGCCCAGTGCTTTTTACCAAACCTTCTGACCTCCTTGGCAGCTCAAACCGGGACCCTGGAGTCCCAACAGAGAGCCCCTGCCAACATGTGCAGCCAGATCGGAGACGACCCACCCAGGTGATAAAGCACCAATTGCCTTAGAACGCCCAGGGGTTTCTGGTCAACCATCACTATGTCTTTCTAAGCAGTTGTAACTGCAGAATGCCCAGGACCAAATATTAAGAGCTGTACCAAGCTCTTTCTTGAAGCAGAGGCTGGAAAATCCAGCACACTCTGTGTGCATGCATGTGTGTGTACTTGTGTACAGCGTGGTAAAAGGACACGAGCCCTAGCAAGGTGGCTTAGTCAGGTGGAGTGTTGTCCTAGATACCCAAAGGCTGCAGGTTCATCTCCGAGTCAGGGCACATACCTGAGTTATGGGTCCATTCCCTGATCGGGGCTCATACAGGAGGCAACCAACTGATATTTCTCTCTTATACCAATAGTTTTCTCTCTCCCCCCGCTATAAAAATCAATTTAAAAACATATTTTTTAAAAGCACATCAGATTTGGGCCCAGTTCCAAATCCTGGCCCCCCACCTACAAATATTTTGCCTTTTTCCAGCTTTTGTTCCCTTATCTTCATAAAGAAGACTGTATTGTATATTGAAAGCTGCTGAGAGAGTAGATTTTAAAAGTTCCCATCACGTACACACCCACCAAATGGTAACTGTGTGAGGTGATGGGTGTGTTAACTAACCAGAACTTGGTAATCATTCACACTATACACGTACATCAAATAAATCACATTGCACACCTTAAACTTGCTCAATGTTATACGTCAATTACATCGCAATAAAGCTGGAAAACCATTTGTTCAAAAAAGAAAAGAACAGGCTGTTGGGAGTATAAAGAAGGCAATAACTATAAAGTGCTCAGCACTGTTCTAGGAACATTGTAGGGGTGCAGTAAATTATCCACAGATTATTACTAAGACCAAGGTTGACAGGCACTGACCGGGTGCAGAAAGTGCTGGCTGGAGGGCTGGACAGTCCTCACTGACTCACTCCACCCTGGTGCCATTGGCCCCTCAAAGTCCAGGGCACAGGGCTGCTATCTCCTTGTCTGACCTCCAGGGTCTCTGCTGGCAAATCACAGGCTGCCTGTCTGGCTTCTAGGGGTGTGCTTAGCCAGCAAGCAGTGAGTCTGTCCCTTAGCTTTAATCCTTCCACCCGTCTCCATCTCTGATGTTCATCTCCTCTGTACAGACCCGACAGCACAGCTTCGACTCATGGCCAGAGAGACCTCCCTGTCCCCATGCAGATAAAGCAGACTCATTCTCAACTTTTCCCCATCTTGAAGAACATGGCATGCCCAGGAAAGAGGACTGCTCGTGACCACATGCCTATTTTGCCACCGGGGTTTAATTGCCAGTATGCACCATCGCAATCTGCTTTTACACATGCTGGTACAGAGGCAGATCCATTTCATTATATAGTTGAACTTCCAAGTCGCTTAAGTGGCTCCACCTTTATCAAAGGAAAAGTTAGGCCAAAATATTCAGCTTCATGGTGCCAAGCCCAAACTGGAGATTTGGGAGTAAAATGCAACCTGTCCTTTCACACACCTCAGTGAGGTGGAGGAGGAGGTTTCTATTTTTCTAGGAAGTGTGCTTGAACAAACTCACCCTACATTTTCCTTTTTGGGGCGGGGGTGGGGGAGAGTAATCACTGCCATGCGGGTTAAAACAACTACAATGTGGGCAGGTGACTGAGTCCCACTCACTTCCACAGCAGATCCCACAGGAAGTGAGCCACTTTTAGTGGCCACTTTGGGGGGCACAGGGTCCTCTGAGCTCAGAGCAAGATCAGACACTGTGGTCTTTGAAAGCCCACTGAGAGGTCACTGGATACCCTAAATCTACCACAACACTGCTGGGATGATCCTGGGAAATTTTGGCACTAGACAAAATAGATGTAATTATCCCAACATGTAAACTTTGCCTGGGCCACACTCACGTCCAAGTGCAGTGATCTGAGTCAAAGTTTTCATGAATCAACTATGGGAATGATGTGGCTTTCAGAAGTTACTGTTTGAAGGAGGGTGTCTGATAACATTCTGCTTGCTGGGAGGTACAGATGTTGAAAAAAGTATTTGCCCAACCTCAACTGGTGCTGTGAACAAAGAGCCTGAACTTCTTTCCTTCTCTTTCCAGAGGGAGCAATAAGGAAATCCTCTCCCATCTTCCCAGCTTTGTTCCATAAGCAATCTAGCTTTTATTGCTTGAAAATGATCCATTTATGACTATTAAAGCAATAAAATTGTCATGATGACTACCATCACTTGAATGCTGACTTGAGATACTGCGAAGCCCTTGGAACTTCACCCAACTCCCTCATCCTCAATATTTAAAAAACAACCTTTTTATTTGGAAATAATTCCAAATTTGAAAAAAAAAAAAGTACAAAAGAGAAAAAATTGCACAATGAATACCCTCATATACACTTTACCCAGATTCACCTGTTGTTAACATTTTACCTCATCTGTTTTATGGCTTGTGTGCTCTCTCCCTCCCATCCCCCTTCTCACTCAAACACGTACACGCAGTTAAACTGAGCAGGTGCCATTGACCCCATACCTAAATTGCCTGGGCTGTGTTCACCTGCAGGTGACAGTGACCTGACCTGGGGTCAAGGTTTCACACGTCAGCTATGGGTGTGATGCGCGTATCTGATAAGGTCCTCCTGGTCTGGGGGTATTGGTGCTGGAAAACCACTTGCCAAACCTGGAGCCAGCCTTGTGAACAGGGCCTGAACCTGCACTACTTTTCTTTTCTCCCCGAGCTAAGCAAGAAGAAAATTCTTTCGCATACACATACATATGTAATTTCATTTTCTGAACCATTTCAGGGTGAGTTACATACAAAATGGCCCTTTACCCTTAAATACTTCAGAGGATGTGTTTGCTAAGAATAGGGTATTGTCTTCTACACCACAGTGCAGTTGCCAGTTTCATAACCGACATCGACAGTACTATTATCTAATGTGCTGTACACTCACATTGTCGTTTGATGTCAGGATGACCTTTAGAGCATTCCTCCCGCTCCCCAGCACAGCATCCCACTCAGGCATTGCATTTAGTCACCATGTCTCTTTAGCTTCCTCTCATCTGGGGCCTTTTCACAGCCTTTCTTTGTTTTTTTTATGACACTGACACTTTTAAGAGCCACTGGCCCCCTTTTTGTAAACAGAACTTTCCTCATTTGGGGTTTGGCGTTTCCTTGTTACTACGATGAGGTCATGCTTTCTTGGCCAGACCTCCTCCCTCTTCTCATCTCTTTTCCTATGAAGGCTCATTACTCTCAAGAGCCTTCTCTGGCCTCCTGTGCTTGTTTTTAGTTTGTGTTTTAAACTGAGGTATAATTTACATTCAACAAAAGGCATAGCTAATAAGTGCACAATAGCTGAATTCTGACAATTGTCACCACACCCTACTGAGAAAATGACAACAAACTGTTGTGGTCTCAGCCCACTCAGCAGAGCAGAGATTCCAAGCCTACCTACCCTCTCCTGCTTTTCAAGGTAAAGAACTCGGTGACATCAACATGTCACTCAACGAGAAGCAAATCTTTCTTTTAGGCAATGGTTGTTACGGGCCCATCTGTATTAGCAATAGTCGTATGGAGGATTCATCTGGGACTACAAAGCAGAAAACAGCAAAAAGGTGCTCTGTGGATCAGCCAGGGCAGCGTGGCCCTGGGAGGCGTGTGCCCTGGGAGCCCCAACAGCTAGACTTGGAAAAGCACTGAATGAGAGTTCTTAGTAATTCTCGCAGTGGACCAATTTCAGTTTGGGAAAAACAAATTTTGCTGATCCCTAAAAACTGCCTTGGGAGGTTGCTGGCAAGCAGCTTTTGGAAATATGCACAACCGAAATCCACCGACTTGCATGTCGCTTGTGTAAGGGCACTGAGGAAGGAGGCCAGATGCTGGATCAGTGCAGTGCGTCTTCGCTTAACGTTGTAGATCGGGTCCTGCAGACTGACTTTAAGCAAAGTGACACGTAAAGAAACCACTTTTACCACAAGCTAATTGACATAAACAAGAGTGAAGTTTTCCTACAGCATATTTCTGGTCACGGAAACATCGCCAAACTTCTAAATAAAGAACCAAAACACCTGTAATATTAGACATTGAAATAAACGTGAGCTATACATACATTTAAGAAGGATTAATAAAAATCAAGACGGAGAATTATTTTCCAACCTGCCTATTCCTGTTCCGGTCAGGGTGTGGCAGGACCCACCCTGGACACACACACACACACTCAGACTGGAACAACTTACACACAGCAAGTCACCTAACACTGGGACGTGCAGGAAACCTGAGGACCCAGAGAAAACCCATGCAGGCTTGGGAACCACGTGCAAACTCCACACAGACAGTGGCCCCAGCCAGGAATCGATTTTTTTCATCATCATCGTTATGAAATGACGTTGACTGAATTATATTATTCAAGGCCCTGCTGTGCTCGGCCCGCACTGAGCCACTGACTCTCAGCCTATTGTGTCTGAGCCGTCAGGACTTGGGCTTGGGATGTGCACATGCACGTGAAGGGATTCACGGTACGTTTATTTTCTTTTAGAGTGAAATGTACTTAGTTTCTCTAATTAGAATTTTTGTTCTAAAATGAGGATAAGATCAGGAATCAAATCTGCTCATTTCTTATCATGACTGAGTGCTGTGCCACTGAGATCCTTTTTTGCTGTGCTCTCTAAATCAAGAGCCAATTACTTTTTTTCTTTTTTTTAATCTTTACCCCAGGTTATTTTTTCCATTGCTTTTCAGAAAGAGTGGAAGGGAGGAAGGGAGGGAGAGAGAGACATCGATGTGAGAGAGACTCATCGATTGGTTGCCT